AAATAAATAAAACTAAATAAAATATAAAATAGATAAAAAAAAATTATTACTTTGTCTTTTTGCTATTTCAATACAACTTAAATTTTTTTTTTAGTTATATAGCGATTCTCTAGAACAAGTTAAGTTAGGTGCTCACATGCAGTTTCATCTAAGAGTAGCAGTCTTCCTTGATGATACAGTGATATTTAAGATAAATTGTTATGTTATTTTAGCATATTTTTGATAGTCTTTGCATCACAACCAACAAGTTTGACAATTTGCCTATATGACTTCTCTAATTTTTAAGCAGATATGATTTCATCTTGTTTTCATTTAAAAAGTATTATAATTTGAAACTTATTAAATATAAAAAGGCTTTAACAGAATATATTTATACTTGAGATTCTTAATTAATGATTATAATTAATTATCATATTTATTTAGCTCAGTCTAAAGATGTAGTACAATGCTGTAATTTGTTATAACTATAATGAATTGCAGCATTTTTTGTTGTAATTCATTATAATTACAACAAATTACAGCATTGTGCTCACACTTCTAGCTTGGTTAAAAAAAAATCTAGCAAATAATTTGTTTCAAAATTATAGTAATTTTATATATTGTGAGTTTTTATAAATTAAAATTTTATATAATTATACAGTAACTTCGAATATATTTCAATTTTTTCTATTTAAAAGCCAGGTAATAAAGTTATCATATAAATTATCGAATAACAAGTTTACATCAATACTTAACAAATTATATAAGAAATTTATAGAATCTGCAGCTTTAACTATAAAGATATATATAAGCTAGACTAAAATTAACACAGTAAAGTGCAGGTTTATAGATAAGCATTTTGTTTATAATAATCTGCTTGTCTAAAAAAAAAATTTATAACTATGTCAGGATTCTTAATACTATATACTTCAGCATAATTAAGCTTAATTACTAAGATTTAATATTGATTTAGAGTAGCACTAATAGTATTACTGCCCTTTGTCTTCTATTAAATCAACTTACAAAAAAAAATTTAGTATTTGGAAATCTATCAACAAATACAGTTAGAACATTAACATTAGCTAATCTTTAAACTATATTCGCATATAATGAAAAACAAGTACCATTCACAAAATAATTATTTTCTTTACTTTATAAAAATTTTAAAGGAACTTGGAAACCTAATAACAATCTTACTTAAAAAAAAGTATAAAGTATTAGTAATGATTACAGTATCTATATATGGAATAAATAAAAAAAATAATACTTAGCATTAATTTAGTAATACAGTTTCAGTATACAGTATTTGATAAATAAATAAATTATATCATAATAGATAAATAATAAATAAATAAAATTAAATTAGTATTAAATAAAAAAAAATAAACCAAAAAAAGATTTAAAAGAAATTTAACTTAGATTAAAGTCATCCAAACTGTTATATGCTATATATTAATATTATAAATTTGATTACATAATTTACATTAAATATATAGCAATAGTATATAATAGCTTGGATAACTTTAAATTTGAGTTAAATTTTTTTTAAATTATTTAATTTTTTTTTAGTTTATTTTTTTTTATTTAATGTTAATTTATTTTTTTTATTTAATGTTAATTTATTTTTTTTATTTAATATTAATTTATTTTTTTTATTTAATGTTAATTTATTTTTTTAATGTTAAAGTTTATTTATTTATTTGCCTATATTATTCATTTATTTACCAAATATACTAATATATAAAATGATTATTGAAGCAAACTAAACTTATAGTTCATATATATTGTTGGCTTAGAATTTGGCAAGCTTATCACTAATCTAATTCAACTCTTGTATAACCTACAGTGATTAAGTTAAAATAAGTAAGTTAGATCTGGCTAATAGGTTCTTGTCTATAGGTAAGTATTGATTTTCTCATAAGTTTTTTTTCGAACCTGTTCTTATACTAACTTTTGTCTTCTTTTTTTATGCCTCAATCTGAGATTATATTACATCAAATCAGGATTGAATCTCTTCTCTTACATTACTATAACTTGTCTTCTGATTATATAGCTATGATAAGTGATCAATTGTAATATTAGTTGATTTTGGGTGAACAGGTGTTATTAGTAATAAGATTAACAATAGTTATTAGTTAGCACTTTTACTTTTATTATGAAATATTCCAAAAACTGTAATTATAATACTCTCTAACTATAATAAATAATACATTTATTGAGTACATAAATTTTTAGTGTTTGATATATTTTATCATATGATGGTCGAAACTTTTTAATAATAAATTTACTCTAGTTAACAGAGAATGAAAAAAATGTATAATTAAATAGATATCACCAAAATAGATTATAATAAACAAAAAAAAGAAAAAATATAAAAATATCTAATTAAAAATTATATATTAGATCAAAAAATATATACCAATGAATCAAATATTGCTATAATGATTATATTACATGATAATTATGACAATTACTAATAAAATCATAATGTAATATTACAAATTTAATAGTGAACTTTAATCTTAATTATCTCAGCTTTTAGTAATTAAAATTGGATAATTTTTTTTTATTTGAAAGTAAAATTTCTTCTCTATAAAATAAAAAAAATTATACCAAATCCATTATTGGTTACTAAGATAATTAAGATATATGATAATTAATAAAATTTAATATATTATAATTAATTAGTTGAATTATCTCTATAACCAGTGATTAAATTTTGATAATATTTTTTTTATTTTATAGAAAAAATATATATCTATTAAATAACAAAAAATTATTTATTTTAAATCAATAATTATTAAAAAAATTAGATTGAAAGATTGAACTATGAAAATTTTGTTTTTATTAATTTTTTAATTAATTATTCATTAAAATTACATAAAACTTATACAGTAGATAGAGAAATCTTTTTTTATAAAATAATAAAATATTATTAAAATTAAATTGATAATTATTGAAATATTTGCATAAAAACATAATCATTTATTAAATTTATTAATATCCTAAAAGTAAAATTAAATAACTTGCTAATTATGCAAGTATATGATCTAAAAATAATATAATATAATCATTAAGGAATAAGGATTAATACAGAATCATCAAGGACATAGATTAATTAGTAAGTTTTGAAATTATAAACCAAATCCTTAGGTGTGGAAATATTTTTGTCACCCCTCTGTATGAGTCGTGCAACTTTGTGGAATTCTATTCAAATCTTAAACTTCGATTACATCTATCTTAAATGTCCCAATGCAGCTCTAGAAGAATATAAGAGATTGATAATTGTACATAACAGAGGCTTACAAAATTTATAATTTCTTTTTTAACCATGACCCCTTAACTACCTTTTTTTTTTTATTCAACCCCGAATTTTTTATTTATCAACTCACTATTTCAATATTGTACATCCATATATGATATAAATACACAGATGTACATCAATATGCCTATCAACTATATAAGTACAATTACAAAATTCCAAATAATACCTGTTTTTTATTTATAAATTTCAAATATAACAATAACGACTACTCTAAAATTTTTCCAACCTATCACGATTACGTAACAAAAATCCTACCTATACCTTTCACTTTTTTTTTTTAACCGAATTAAAAACTCACTGGTCTAATCCGACGGTCCCCTCTTGTTTTGCTATAAGCCTCTCCAATATGTTAATTAATATCGATAATTTTTTATAAGCAATTCGGCCAATAAAATTATTTTGCATGCAAATGATTGAATGACCTTAATAAATGATCTGGTCATTATTTGATGACTTGGGGTCGTTTGAATTTTGATCAAATAACCGTGAGCCGGCCCGTTCCCCATCAAAATTTTACGGACACGTGACTTATTGTGGCGCAACCGAATCGTATTTCAGAAAAATTCAAAACAAACGTTCATTTTGTCAAAAAATCGCACATGACTCGGAAATCTGCATAGGGAACCATCTTTAATGCTATAACAAAAAGTTTTCCTTGGGCGATTTTACTAACATGTACACTAATGTCTAACTGTATAGTAAGCACCAACCCTAACTTAAACAAACTTAAGTTTTTCTCAATATGCCACAAATAAAATCACGTGTCCGTAAAATTTTGGTGAAGACATTTGAAGGCCGCCCTGGTCGATTCATGGTGAAACTCAAAGTTAGTTTGCCTGCAACTCTAGCTTAAAGTGTTGTTCTTAAAGAATATATATTTTAATTGACTATGTTAATAACGACGCTCTTAATATTGTACAGTGAAGTTAATTCGTCAGACGGATGAATAGAAGTGTAGTTTTGCTAAAGAACAAACAATACTGTATGCATGGTATTATTTAAGTAATATTAAAAGTAGTAATGTATCGTCTTCTAGCAAAGAATGATGAAAATAGAATGGAATTGCTCATAATTTATTAAAATGAGACATCAAGCTTTCATTATTCACCAGATTCAGCATTTAAATTTAATTACTACTACATACAAAATTTGTTTGATTAATTTGATTGGTCAATAGTCCGTTTTGTCTTTACGTAGCGGTAGAATCTAGTCAATATCTGATTCCCGACTATGACTATTTTTCCGAAGGAATAATGGTGGCCAATCATAATAGCAATATTTTGGATGTTCTAGATTGTAGATCAACGAAAATCTAGTCCAGCAAGGTGATAAATTTCAAACTCAAAATTCTGGTTTTCTTTGGCATCGTTTACATAAACCAGTGGATCTTATTTTTATAAATTTGTTTTACTATAATTAAACTGTCATTCCTTTTTATAATAATTCCTATGATTCCCACTGTTAAATCTTTCTTTTTAGAAAATTTTTTTTGTGATGCACATGCTTTAATTATCACTATATGCGGCATTTGAACCTATCATTTGAGATGCCGACATGATTGGTCGGTTATCGTCGTGATAAAATTTCCAAGAATTTAAAGAATACGGATCATTTTACTTTCATTACACATTAGGGATCTATTATTTATTAAAAAATTTCAAATATACTATACTTGAAACGACCCACTTCAGATTGAATGTTCAACAACTTGCAAATAGGCTACGGGCAAGCCCCGCAAATTCAACCGCAAGTGGTGGCTACTAGCACATCGGGAGTCCCAAACATACCTAACGGTAGGAAACGATGTCCATTATAATGCATATCTTAGCCAACTTTCATGAAATTATATGATAGGTTTATTTAATGTTTTAAATATATAATTTTTTTATAAATCTATTTTGTTGTCTTTTTTTTTTTTTTTTTGAATATCAGTTCGTCTTTCATTTATCACCGCGGCAGATCAAGTTAAATTTGAAAAGCTTTATATTCAAGGTGTTGCTGGGGGAAAGTATTTAACAGGTATTTTCTTTCATAATTTTATAAAGTTTTTCGATAGATTGCTTGGTATTATTTATCATTTTATTTTGCGACTGTTAAAGGCGAGGGTGCGAGAGGAATTCTTTTGCGTTCTCAATTACCTGCTGATGCATTGGCTAAAATATGGTTTGTTACTATTCATACAATGAATTTCTATTTGTCATTACATGACTGTGAGTTCATTCAGTCATATTTGCATTATCTAGGACGCTTTCAAATGTAACAGCAAATGAACACCTCACTTTCCCGGAGTTTGCTCTTGCTATGTATCTTACAAATTTGAAGATAAGGGGACAAGAGTTACCCAATAAATTACCTGAAAACATTTTTAATGAAGTGATGGGCGTTATAGACCAAATAAAAGCTATTGAGCAAAAGCAACAACAACAGCAACAGCCACAGCCACCACAACCACTACAACAACCACAACAACATATACCAATACAACAGAGCAATAGCCCAGTCCCCCAACTTCAAATGTTACAGCAACAATTTTCTGGATTGTCGATGGTTCCCAATGTGCCTCAATATTCCTCTGTTCCTGCTAACTCTGGGATATCTGTGATGCCTGGTATGATGCCATTTACACAACGAATGATGCCACAACAGAATCCACAGCAACAATATAGCACTGCTGGATTACAGGGAAATGAAAAAATTCCGTGGGCCGTGACACCAGAAGAAAAGATTCAGTATAGAGCAATATTCCGGCAATGGGATTCGACAGGGTTGGGGTACTTAACGGGTAGGTCTATTTAAATAAATAAATAATAAATATATTAAAACTTAATGAAATATTATAGTCTTTTTTTTTTATAATTCATTTCAGGTGAAAAAGCGAGGGAAATTCTATCGCAATCTGGTTTACCTCAAAGTGATCTAATGCAGTTATGGTAAATTATATTCTATATTTATGTTTCTTTTTTCATATTAAAATAAATTAACACTAGTTTTTTTCCTGATGTAAGGAATTTATCCGATCCTAATAACAACGGAAAACTAAATCAAGATGAATTCGCAGTGGCAATGCATTTGATCTATAGAAAACTTAATGGCTACGATATACCTGCTACACTCCCTCCGGAACTTATTCCACCATCTTCAAGGGAGTTAAACGAAAGTTTGGACTTGATCAAAAACATGCTAACTTCAGACGTAAATACACAAGTGATGTTAAATTCTCAACCTGGCGCCCAATATGTGAAATCTAGAAGTTTCACCAGTACACCTACAATTGAATACAATGATGCAGTTGTATACAAACATAAGGATGATGATGTTGGTTATGTCTCTGCTGCAAGGCATCGTGTTCCTTCAGTACCTCGTGATCGATCACCATCATTTTCTTCCTTATCAACTTCTTCTATATCTGAATCTGGCGACAGGGATGATTTATCTGGAAAATTGTCAAGATTAAAAAAGGATATTCATGAAAAGAAAATTTTATTAGAAGCGTTGTCATATTCAGCTAATTCAGTTCCAACATCTTATGATCGCTCTTATTCCAGTAATTCTTCTGATATAAATGATTACAAATTCAAGATCAAAGAACTTCAACGAAAAATAGCTGATTTACAAAATTCTACTCCTGAATGGCTTTCAAGAGAATTTAGTAGAAACACTGATGAACTAAATTCTTTGTTGGATCAGCATCGTAATCTAGATTACGAATTAAACAATATGCTTTCCAGCATTGTCCCAGATTTAATTTATAAGGTTAGAGAAACAAATAATAAAGTGGCTGACGCCAAACTAGAACTTTTTAAAATTAGAGATGAACGGGAAGGGGGTTCAAAAATTATTGGAACAGGTCCTGGGGGTGCTATTACTGAGACTGATAAAATTAAAGCAAAGGCACAGGCTATGTTACAAGATCAAGTAGCGCGTAGGACTGGGAGATCTCTTAATTTTGGTAGTGATTTATCCGATTCATCAACATCAAGGCGATATGACGAAGAAGTGATTAGGGTTAATTCGGAAAAAGAAATTAAAGAACAAGGCGTTGCAGACATTGAAAGAACTGTTTCGAGGATTCAAGACTCGATAATACGAATTGCAAAGGAACGAGAAGAAGTCGAAGATAAGCTACGCCGTATCGAGGGAAATATGAGGTCTTATGAGAGTGATACTCGAAAATGGGAAGATGGAACTGGTGTAGGTGAAGAAGTGAGGAAGTTTATTGATGAACTTAAAAGAGATGCTCCAAACATATCTTATCGTACAGAATATAATCAAAGTAATTATTCTTATGATGGAGTAAAATATAGTGAGCCTCGCTATTCATCTACAAAAAATGATACGCACGATCGTAGTCGTTCAGTTTCTTCTTCATCTTTGAGTTATAGTCCAGTTAGCAGCTCTGTTCAAAGTTCTTCCAATGCCAAGACTCCAGAGGAACGTAGTGCTTTAATTGAAGCAAAAGCAAAACGCATAATGCAGGAAAAATTAAAGGCTTTGGGTATTGAAAATCCATCACCTGAAAAATCTACGCCAACTCCTGATTCATCAACGATCACTGATAGATTAGTACGTGAAAGAGCTGATGCAGCTGAAAAGCTTGAACGCGCGGAACGGGAAGCTGCAGAACGTGAGCGTATTCGTGAACAAAAGCTTTTGGCCGAAAAGCAAAAGAAAGCAGAACAAGAAGCAGATAGATTAAGAAAAATCGAAGAGTTTAAACGCCAAGAGGAGGAAAGAAAAAATAAATGGCTCACAGAAGCTCAGGAACTTGAGAAATCAAAGGACAAAAAATTGCGTGATAAGGAGGAGGCATCACGTCTTATGGAATTAGAATTGGAAAGGAGGAGGTTAGAAGAAGCTGAAAGAGAAAAGCGTCAGCAGGAAGAACGCTTAGCTAGAATAAAGAGAGAAGCGGAGGAACGCGCTGCTGCTGAAGAACGTCATAGATTAGAGCAGGAGGCTTTAGTTGAAAATTCACGAGCTGCTAGAGAGTTGGCAAAAAAAAGGGAGGAGGAAACTAAACAACGTGAAGAGACTCTTAAACGAGATATTGGAAAGTCATCTAAAGTTAAAAGGGAAGATTCTGTACGGAAACAGTTAACATCTAACAATGTTGAAAATACACTACCAACAGAGACTACCAGCAACAATCCATTTTTGAAGTTTGGTGCACAAGATAAACCTATTGAGAGCACTGAAGTGGAAAGCAGAAATCCCTTTTACAAATTCACGTCTAGTGCAAATACAGACGCAAATACAAACAAGACTTCGACTTCTCGCGAAGTTCAAGATGATGACGACTGGAATGTTATTGATAAAAACGAGGATAGTAGCGATGACGATTTTACAGTTCCTCCACCAACAGTCTTCCTTACTGACAAATCGACAATGCCAAAACCATCATCAAATATTCCCGTCGCTCCTCCAGCACCACCATCAAATATTCCTGTCGCTCCTCCAGCACCACCATTAAATATTTCATCAAATGTTCCATCAGCGCCACCATTGCCGCCGTCTTCATCAAATATTCCATTAGCTCCACCATTGCCACCATCTGCCTCAAAAATTCCATCAGCACCACCATTGCCACCGCCTTCATCAAATATTCCGTCGGCGCCACCATTGCCACCGTTTGCATCAAATATACCAATTGCACCACCAACATCCGTAACTACATCAAATACTTCACAATCGCAGCCGTCAGGTGCACGAAGTGCCTTGTTAAACCAAATTCAGCAAGGCAAAAAATTAAGACCTACACAGACTAATGATCGATCATCACCTCTTGCAGCAGGTAAATTATTAAATATGTTGTAGTTATTTATAATCCAAGTTTTACTTAGACGTTTATTGTGATGCTTAATTAGGTAGGACAAATTCTTCTCCTACACCGGCGGCTTCCTCTGATGGATCTGCGCCCAGCGCCGGTCGTATTGGTCTAGGTGCATTATTTGCTGGTGGCGTGCCAAAGCTCCAGAGTCGTGGCGGCGTAGAAACTGGTCGTTCATTTACTGAAGACACCCGGTCCACTACTAATTCTCGGCAAAGAACAATTTTGAAAGCTGATCGTAGAATTTCGTCAGATTTATTTGGTAGTTTGGCTTCTGATCAACTTGCAAATGAAGGAAAACTTTCGGCACCCACAACCCCTGACATAACTCGGACTGAGAGCAAAGAATATTCTCGCACCACTGATGAATCATCCAACCTCGTAGAGTCACCAACTGCCACTTCGTCTTCTGAAATTGATGTGGATTTCGCACAAGAATTTCGTGTTAAGTCTCTTTATTCTTATTCTGGTAATGGTGCAGATGACCTTTCATTTGAGGCTGGAATTTCTTTCTTGGCGCATCCGTCCAAAATTCAATCAAATGCGGATTGGTGGTATGGCGTGATTGAACAAACTGGTGCAAAAGGCTGGTTTCCCAAATCATATGTTGAAATAGTTAAAGAAGGTACAATATAAACGAATCATTGATAGTTGTTTAAAAACATTTTCTTTCGATTGTTTTTTTTCTTATTAATTTTTATTCTATTAAAAATTTAGAAAAGGAAGTCTGTAAAGCTAAGGTTTTATTCGAATGGAATGCACAATCTCCTGACCAACTTGATATTAAGCAGGGTAGCGTCGTTTCTATACTCGACAAGTCCTTGGGTGATTGGTGGAAGGCGGAATATGAAGGCGCTAAAGGAATTATTCCATCCAATTATGTCGAAGAAATTTCTAGTTATAGCGGTTAGTGTTTGACTTTAATCTTGTTGGTATAAATTGAATTTTTTATAGCGAAAGCGTATGTGTGATGATGTAAGATTCAATCATCCTTCCTTTCACATACATTATTCTTCATTTTACTTCAATTTTCAAAAAAGCAAGTACAGAAACATAAAACTACATATGTATTGTCAAATAAAGGCCAATGTAATATTATATATTCTTTATTTATATTTTTGTGTGTGGATAAAATAATGAAAAATTTTCTTTTACGTCTTTTTTCCACTTTTTTTTTTAATTTAATTTTCTGTCCTGCATTACGGTTGGGACAAAAGTCCGAAACAAATTAGATAAGGATATGACAGGTGTAGGTGAAACAAGTAACGATGACACAAGTGAAGATGAATCTAATGAAACTAATGGCGATATACGTTCAAAAAGTGATATTGTTAATGATTCAAAATCAGACAATATTTTTGACATAGTATTTACGGATCCCATAACGATACCAAAATTTAGCATTCAATCTCCTAAAAATGCTAGTTTTATAAAAAGTTCAATAGAAATAGATTCTAGATCAGCCTCACCGAATTCATCAGAGCCTACAGAGTTTGTAAGAAGTCCAAGTCCAACAAGATTATTTGGTTCTAGTCCAATTATCACTGTTCCATGGATGCAAATTGGATCATTTAAAAGAGAGCGTAATAATTCTACAGATTCTAACCTTAATCCACAAATTATGCCGCAAAGACCTGAAAGCCCAGTTTCAATAAACCAAGTATGTTAAAATCATATAACTTTCGCAAAAAGATAGCGTTTGGCTGGTTCTTAAATTTTATTTGTTCTCATTTAATTATTCCAATAAAAGGGACCATCTGCGCCATTATGGGCAGGAATAATGGACTCTGAAACACTGGAAAGCATATCTAAAGAAGAGCGTAAACGTCAAGAAGCCATTTATGAATTAATAATCACAGAACAAACATATCTTCGTGATCTTCAAATAATAATTGAATTGTTTTATGGCCCTCTTCAAAATTTCCTTTCCGACCAGGAATTATCGACCCTTTTTTGTAACATTCAGGACATTTTATTATGCAATACTGCCATTCTTAGCGATCTGGAGCAACGCCAAGAGGAAGATGCCTATTTTATTAGTAAAGTTGGGGATATTTTGCTTAAACATTCTAAAGATTTAACATTATATACGAAATATTGTGGTAATCAATTGAACGCAACCAAATTTTTACAAAAGAAATGTAGTGTGGATAAAAAATTTGCAGATTTTCTTAAGGTAATTCACAGATAACAATAGGAAACAGAATTAAGAAATTTAAGCCATAACATAATTCATAAATTCATATATAATATCTTTATTACGCTACAGAAAATTCAGCAAGATCCGCAATGTGGATCATTGGATCTTTCTAGCTTTCTGTTAAAGCCATTACAACGAATCACTAGATATCCTTTATTAATACGTCAGGTAATAAAATTTTGTATGTATTCCTTCCTTTATAACAATCTCATATTTCTGATCGATTATTTTTTACATTCCTTTTGTTAACAGATATTGCATTATACAAGCAAAGACAACACCGACCATCAAAATATGATGCAAGCCCTTCATAAGGCTGAAAAAATATTGGAAGAAACAAACGAGGCAGCACGTGAGCAGGAGAACCAGATGAAATTGAACGAGATATCAAACCTTGTAGATTTAGAAAATTTAGAAGAGGTAAATGTTTGTTTCACATGAATACTATGAATTGCTGTCTGTAAAAACAAAAAATTCTTATTTATTTCCGTTTAAAGAAACTTGACTTGACTAGTATGACTCGTCTAGTTGGAAAGCGACAATTCATCCTTGAAGGACCACTGAAAAAAGCTAAAAGTGGACGTAATTTGTATGGCTATCTTTTTAATGATATATTACTTCTTCGTCATTCAAATAAAAAAACAACTGCCAAGGGACACAAATACTCCTTGTACAAGCCGGTAATCTATTTCTTTATTTTTAACATCGTGTTAGATGATTTTATAAGTTGCATAATTTGAACTTTTGCTAATCTTATGTAGCCAATACCTTTGAATGAAATATTTGTAAAAGATATTGGTCTAGGTTGGTTCACTTATAAGCTTATTTGTATTATGATTTTATGTATATAATTTATTTGTCTTTTTTTTTGTAGATGAAACATGTTTTCAAGTTGTACATATAGAGGATGTTATAAACCTTCGAGCAAGTAATGTATCTGTAAAACGGCAATGGGTTAATCAACTTGAAACTGCGAGTGGATATTGTCTTGCGGTAGAAAGAAAGATTCAAAAAGGAGGTATTTATTTAGAATAACATATACTTGTACCTTAATTGAATAAGATGCTTATTACTTTGAATGTCAACTATAATAATCCCATTATTTATAGAAACTTCCTCTTCACCCATGGATCACAACCACATTAGTGGTACACTCAGGGTTTTAGTGTACGACGGTGTGGTTCCATCTGAGCATGGTTAGTATTTGCACAGTTTGAGCTGATAAATTCGTAGAAACTAAACCAGTGTTTTTTGATTTCAATATAGAGTCTGAAAGGTTTAATATACATGCGTATTGTCAAGTGCAATTGAACAGACAAATTTTTAAGACAAAAATTGTTAAGGGCACTAATTCTCCACAATGGAATCAGGTAATGAAGAAGTTTGGGTATTTTGCTCATTAATTTGACTTTATTAACTTATTTATCTTTATTTAGCACTTGATGTTTTCTGTAATAACTCTAGAGGATACATTAAAAATCACATTATTTAATTTTGATAAATACACAACTGATGAATATTTAGGACAAGCCGAAATTGGTTTACATTTTTTAACATATTATGGAGATAATGAAACCGATAAAATTAAATTAGAATTAAAGGATATACCACCGGGTAAATCCAATGGCCATGTGTCGATTTTCCTAAGTTATAAAGCAACCGACTAATTATTACTAATTATTTTAAAAAACAACACATTAATTACTACTAAAGTAGAAAATAATAATCTTCATACATAATTGTAATTTTTATAAATACATTCCGTTTATTTAATTACATATATATATTAAATATATATTGCCTAACTTTCTCTCAGAGAAATGTAAATGTTAAGTGTAAATTAACGTGATTCAAGATTATAAATAAAGAGTAAGTGTACAATTTCTTGCAGTGTACCATATAAATTACAAATAAAATATACAGATTAAAGTATATAGAAAATATAAAGTCTAATATTTATATTGTAAAGATTAATTGTCACTTTCCACCCATTTCCAAATTCTAGTTGACAATTCTTCTTTTTTTGAAATATAAGACATTCTTTTAGCTGGTTTTGCAAGACTCCACATACAAACCCATGTTCGTTTTCCTACCCAACGCATTCCTTCCCATAGCAACATGGTTCCATACGCGACCGCTGTCCAAAAGAAAAAGAACAAGAAGGAACCGAATATAAAAACTTCGCGTTCGCTAAAATCGTATAATCCGAATCTTCGGATAAAATGTATAGATAATATCGAATAGATTAAATCAAAAATTATAAAAAAAAAGATTCCTGTCATCATTTTCCACGTGGCGATCACATATCGACCAGGCCATCGCGTAATAGCTAATGAATTTTCATCATATAACATGGTATTTTCACCCTGCTTTTTTCCAACGTATTGAGCGATGAGTCCAATTGGACAAAAGAAAATCAACCCAGGAATTGTTAAAACAATTAAGAACAAGTAAAGTGGAAGGTATAGGATTAATGATATTGGCTTAACAGACAAATGAGGTAGTGATAGTTGATGCCTGCGAAGCGCATGAGCATATGAAATAGTATCCCATTTTAATTGTTTAAACTCTTCTGTCAAAGGAGCCGAAGAATATTTCTAAAATGATTTAATGAATAAATAAATTTAGTAAATAAAATAAAATAAATAAAATAAAATAAAATAAATATAACAATAACCTTTGCTATTCTTCGTAACAGAACCATTTTATCTGAAAAGCTCAACTTTTGTGGTAATAATTTTTCCCGATACAATTTTGATGCTGTTTTAAAGAATAAAAGAGTTTCAAAATCCGGTGCATTGATCGTTATTTCTGTCAAAGATGTATGAATGGTCTTCAAAAGTTGTTGGGAAGCTATCAGAGAATAAATACACAGATTTAGCAAGGATTAACGATAAACATCAAAATTAATGATCGTAAATAAGGAAATACAATAAAACCTTTACGCTTGGATTCATCTCCGGCACGATACATTTCTATCAATTCATTATCAATTTCTATTGTAGGACCAATGTCAACAAATACACGACTTCGAAACGAATGACGATCAAAAAAGTTCAATCCACAAGGTACGAGTTTTAACCTTCTCGGATTTCCTGAGGCATCAGGTTCATTAGATGCCAGATAACCCAAGCTCATAACTGCACAACCATATTTTAATGATAACATATGCTCATTATCATGCGATGTACCCTCAGGAAATATAGCTATACAATTGGATTTAGCAAAATGACTATGCACAGCAGAGTAAACTTCAGAATGAGAGGGCATACGAGTATAAGAATAAGTTGTTGGAATGTCCGGAACTACATAAATGTTAGAACTCCTTCGACTATTTGAAGAACTTTCAGGAATTAAAGGAGTATGCTCAGTTACTTCCTGATTTGGATTTGATGAATGAACGGTAATATCATGAGGTTGATCATCAGAAATTGGAGAAGTCAATACTCCAGGAGAAGAAGACAATCTATCAATAGTCTTTGTCACATTTTTTGGTAAAAATCTTTCCAAATTAGTTATAGTACTCTCACGATCAACTCGAATAACAAAACTACCATACTCTACTAAGCGTTTTAATTGTCCTTTACGTTTTCCTTTAGTGGTCCACTTCATCCCTGGCTCTTTTATGCGTACTTTATCATTATTGATGATTTCTCCAACAATACCATTTGCTTCTTTCAACATTTCATTATCAGGTTCTTCAAATTCTACATATAATGTATCACCAACTTTAAGTACATTACCAAGACCATCACCTGTTACTACTTTTCCTTCTTCAATAACCCTTACTAAGCCATCGCCATCAACTCTTTTAACATCAAATGGCCGCGTAACTGGAATGCACCCAATCAGGGTCATAAGTGTGCCAAAAATAGGATAATCAAAGTTGGATCGTGCGCTCAGAAAGTACACATATCTTGGACACTTTATAAAAATTGTGATCGCATCCATTAAAAAATTTCCATGAGGAGCAACGATAAATAATATTGGGGTACCATCGTTGGGAGGAAAATTTTCTGAATGAAATACACCATAATCACGATAAAAGACTTTAAATACTATATTAGTCAGAAAACGTAATATAACATAAAATGCAGTTCTCACGACAGTAACGAATGACATGATTGCTTAAAAATTTCTTTTGTTTTTTTTTAAAAAAAAAAAAAGGATAAATTGATTAGGGTTCACAATGAAGATAAAACCGGTAGTTAAATCCTTTCACGCATATATAATTGATTTATCAACTCTTTTTGGTAATTTTATTGATAAGCCCAAACATTATACGTATAACTTAGCGTTAGTCTTAATTGCAGCACGCAACCAAATAACACTAATAAATTTCATATAGTTACATTAACAATAAATTGCGGTAGTTCTTATTTTACTATTTTTGGAAAATTTGACTTCTTAATAATTTTGTGTTCCTAGTGCATAATCCAATTAACGTTGACAGAAACTTGCGGTCCGCAGGTTTCTCGATATAAGATTAATGTTTGAGCTCATGGCAAAAAAAAAAATCTTGAATTAAACAAATTTATTTTAAATTCATCTATTACATAATTTTTTTATAACATTACAAGTAACTCATATTATGTAAAAGCTTTCTTTCCCACGAGTGAATTGTTATGGAAGACACTGCAGATTTTCTGCATTTTATTTGTACAATCTTAGAATATTGTTGAGTCTACGTCCCTGCATGCATCAATATACTGGTTATTAATATGTGGCTATGACGATAGTTTGGATCATATGACCCGGACTTTTGGTGGCTGCCCTGGCGAACTCTTTGCCGATGGCTATTTTGTCGACAAACTTGACCCGATTTGGATTAGGCTTAAGCTACAGTCAGACTTCATATAAGCACCTAATTTTTGTTAAACAGGTTACTGAAAAAACCTCTATATAAGCACATTTCTAAAAAAAATTACCATCATCCCAAATACGTGATTATAGAGAGGGTTGACTGCATTTATAACAATAGTTAATTTCTTTCAAATTGTATGCCTTGATAATGTTGTAGAGGACATGAACGAAATATCAGATGTTCCCGCAAAAGAAATGGTTTAACATGACATTGCTTATTTAAATAATCAATTTATATCACTGCTTTGATATGATACCCATGGTTTTCACGAAATGCCGTTTACTACAAGCTGTTTTTTTTAAAAGCATAAGTTTATATCATGATACGCATGTATGGAATGACATAATTCTAGAAGATCAAATAGCCGACCAGTTAATTTTATATAACACTTTAATATTATACCTTCATAATAACACTATTATTGTTATTAATGGTTGTAGAGCTTGACTGGATCCAAGCTCTAAATGGTTGTCATAATATTGGATAGCAAATCCATGATTTGGTAACTTAATGACAGCTTGAAACCGTTATAAGTTTTGGCAACCTAAAGGTTTCATTACACCTGATCTTTCGATAAAATCACGAGGGGGGATTTTTTGTGAGGGAACTATGCAAATTACATGAAGGTGAAAGCGTTTAACATATGCTAAGCAATTGAAGGTTTGTCGATCATTGTGGTGCAGATCCCTGCTTGTGATCGATAAAACCGCATTCACTAATTTCTCCCCACAGTTCCGATTTGAGCCAATCAGCATAAGTCACAGGACAAGATCTGGTATAACGTGAAAATTAACAAAACAACAAAAATCACATTAATCCCTAAGAAATCACCTTTCGTGCGACTAACAAAGAAATTCCTTGCAAAATTTTGGCATAACTTCGCCCACTAAACCTAATACTAACCCTGATTGAGGTATCACATTTTAAAAAGGATGGTGACATGTAAACAATCACAAAAAATTCCAACCAATAGAAAGTGTGGGGAGAATTAGTAATAGCGATAAAACCGGGCACGGGTAGAGTTTGGAACCGGATTCTATCTTCGAATTTAAATCTACAGGTAGGACCGTCCCAAATAAGCAATGATGATCCTGATCATGTATATCGTCATGCATATAGATTCAACTAATTAAAGTCGTAAATTGTGACTACAAGCGATAAGAATCTTTTATATTCGTAATCAAATTTGACTTTTTTTTGTTTTGATATTTAAATGCATTTTACGAGATCGTATATAAAATAATACTTTACATTATAAATTAGATAATGCGCATATTACGGATGTGGGACTTCAATGCACAAAATTTGATAAAAATTCGATTTTTTATTTATTCATTTTTTATTTTATTTTACTACAATTGCATATGAATTTTATATTAAGGGTCAATTTCAGAATGTATTTAATAATATTTAAAGAAAATTTTTTTACTTTATTTAATAAAATTATTATTTCAAGATTTATTTAATATTTAAAAATTTTTATTTTGCATTTTCTAATAAATTATCTGTTACTTTTGTATCATCTATTACTATTTTAGTGTTGTTGATTTATCTTTAACAGTACTTTCAGTATGCTTATTTATAAATTTTTTTTCATTCAAGCCTTTTATTATATTTCTTCAGTGTTTTGATATTAATTCTAATAGTATCTTAAAAATAATTTAAACAAATTAAGTACTTAAAATTGCATCTTTGTAAGCAACAGTTATAATAAGTATATTTACATATAAGAACAATATTGTTATTAGTATAATTAGTATAGTTAGTATAATTACAACATAAATAATTATACAAAATGCTTATATACAGATAATATAATCTTTTGATTAGTTATTTTATAGTTTAAAAAAGACATATTAATGTATTAATATTATTATTAAATAAATTTATAATTAAAGAATACAAATAACATTTTATATAGCTTTGTAAATATCTTTAACAAAATTGTAACATATTTTTAAAATAACATATCAATGCCTTTAGTTTATAAAACAACTTTATAAAAAATAGTAAATATAATATAGTAGTTAGATTATTATCCTCTAAGTAGCAAGTTTAATATTTAAATTTTAGTTATAACAAAATTTAAAAATTATATTTGTATTATAGCATACTATTTCTTGATAATTAGTTAAATTGGTATATCTGTAACCTTAAGTTGCATTATTTTAAATAGGAGCTTAAAGCATATATACAAAAAGTAATATTATATATATATAAAGAAATATTAAGAACTAGTATTATATAAGACTTTAGTGCAAATCTATAATAAGATTACTAGGTATAATAAACTAAAAAACCAAAGAGCTAGGGGTGTGGTAACTTAGTGAAGTGGTCAGGTTGTCAACTTCCCAAGTAGTAGATTGGGTATTCAAATCTTATCAATAGCAAAAATTTAGATAATTACCTATATAATATTTGTATTATGGCAACTGTTACTAATGATTGGGTTAGAATACCTGTAATGATAGTTGTACCAGCATGATTGGCAGATCATAGGGCATCTGTATAAGTATGGTATTATATAGAGGAATGCAAACTGACAAATCAGACAGTGCAAATACAAGATAAGTCCTTGTAGCTATATAAATCTGTTGAAATTAGATAATAAGAAGTCTATTTGGAAAGACCTAAGTAGAGAGATAGCTGGATCTTCAATGGCCCTACTGTAAAAACTAGCCTGAGAAAATGAATACCAAGGTCATAGTACTTGGTCATAGTAGCCAGACAAGCAAAAACCTCTAGGTTAGGAAGTCTTGGAGGTACTACCAACCAGGCTGTTAGAATGAACTGAAGGAAAAGAATATTAGGCCAACCTGATATATTGATGAACTGGTCATAGTTCTACATAGGCTATCTGAATTGGGAGTTTGGTAAAAAGACAAATAAAAAGGCAGAGATATACTAAAGTACTGGGGTTATGCTGTGAAGTAGATGCTGAGGTCTAAGTAAATTCTACAAGAGCATAGCAGTTTAATAGTCAGCCTTGACTGCAAGTGTTGGTTCTGCCATAGTGATACCTAGGTTAGCTGTAAAAATAGATACAGAAGGCTCTAAGAGGTTTACCTCAAGGATAAATTAGTTCTAAAGTTGAGATAATAATCTGAGCATCTGGATATGACCTAGTGAGTTAACACAGATTACAGATTCAGAGGGTTTAAAGTAGAACATCCAAGCAGAAGTGTTAGGTATGACAATTAGTATGAAACCTTCTAGCGGACTTCTTAAATAGGTAATATAGAAAAGTTATATGTGTAGCTAATTGTACTCTCTTCTGTAATAGTTCATTAAATCACAATACTGATAAATGATTAATAAAAATCAAAAGACCAAAAAGGTCATCTTAATACCAAAAAAAAAAAAAAAAAAACCAAAGAGCTAAAAGTTTACTTAAAAATTTTAAGTAAAAAGATAGTATAAACTTTTAATAATATAGTTTAATTAATAAAAAACTTTAAATATTTTCTAAAAAGAATAAGCAGATAAACTGATAAGGAAAACATATGCATTAACCAAGTTACTAAATTTATTAAAAAAAAATAATATTATACTAAGTTATCTGGATTGGAAGTCTAAAAAGTTTTGTCAGTTTTGAATAAAAAAAAATGCAATAGAGTAAGATATTATAAGAATAAATATGAACTAGGTGCTAAAAAAAGAAATGAAATTGATACTTTTTTTAAAAACTGTTTTTTTACATAAATCAATTTAAAATAAGATTAAGATTATTTTTCACTTAAGACTCAAAAGTAGTTATGTTAATAAAATTTTGTAATATAGTCATTTAAAGTTTGCATTTTACTATGATTTATTATAAGATTTACAACATAAAAATTGATTTTCTAAAGATCTTTTTTTTTGTTAATTTCATTCCTTTTCTTAGCACCTAGCTCATATGATGCTGAAAGCCTATACTTAATAGTTACACAAAGTGCTTTAAATTTTTAAATGACTATAACTTTTTATTTAAGAGGTTTTAAAAAAATCCACCTAGTAACTTTATAGAGCTATATTAGCTTTACATATATGCCAAATATCTTTTCAAAATCTTATCACTATAAAGAGTTGATGCTTTTTGAAAATTGAAATTTTATATGTAAATTTATAAATTTAAATATAAATTTTAATTTTCAAAAAGCATCAGCTTTTTACAGTAATGAGATTTTGAAAAGATATTTGGCACATATATAGAGCTAATATAGCTTTATAAAGTTACCAGATGGATTTTTTTAAAACCTTTTAAATAAAAAGTTATAGT